CCTGCTTTAGCTCAAACGAACGTATAGCGACTATCGAAGTGACAAGGTTTAACACCAATTCTCTTCCTAGAAATTCGCAGGTGATATAATAACCCGAAGACGTGTAAAAGGGCACCTTATTGGTACATGATCGAAGCACCGAGCAAGTCAAAAGGGGAAATATGGTGGCCACGTTGCGCAAGCATCCGCTACGGAGAAAACTAAAATATGTCCCAAATTGGAAGTGACTTCGGTCTCACGACAACATATTCGATACTTCCATTCAAAGGCAACACTGCAGATCAGCAAACAAAAAGGAAAACTGCAACAGAGGCAGGAGACATAGACGTGGGCACCGTCACAGACGTCGTTGGGGGCAGTGTTTGTCGGGGAGGGGAGGGGCAGAGAAGTAGCAAATGGAGCTCATGGGCGCTTCGACGGCGAGGTCATATAACGTCCATGGGGGAAGGGGGAGGGAGGGAGGGAGGGGAGGGGGGCAACAGAAAATACATTAAATATTTCCCAGTAGCGGCGTATACAGAATTTCGCCACGGAGATGAGGAGGGAGGGAGCACAAATGCACAGATCGACTACGAAAAGCTTTTCGCGCACCAGACGTGCGAAATATCTTTATGCTTGCATGGCGTCTACCAGCATCGCCTGCTTTTAACCTATTCTTACGAGTTTAACTTGATTTAATATTGTCAGCCAGGGTTGTCACTTTCTAAAATCGGTGGGAGGGGGAAGGGGCCACGCCAATAAACTGACCTAATCTTCCCTGAAATCCTGATTTCTCCCCAGATTTCGGTCACTTTTTTTGCGTCCCTGCCGTCAAAATTAAAAAAGAAAACAAATATTTAGCCAGTTCCAAAATTGCTTGCTGTTGGGGAACGACTTAAAATTTGATGCGATGTGATGATGTGATTGTGATGTGGTTGTGATGATATATGATGACGATAACGATAGCGATGCGTTTAGGACCTGGTGTACCAGCAGTTCGGACACTTGCTGCATTTCATTGGCTCGACATCCCATTTTTCCTCATATAAATTGATGCAGGGGGAGGGGGAGAGACTCAGAGGAGCATCGAGCAGGCTCGAGTCAGGATTGGGGGAGGGGGAGGGGGGGGGGGGGCGAGGGCTCAGCCTCCCGAAAGTGTACGAAGTGATACCCCTGCTGTCCGAATCTATTCATAAGCTTCTCAGAGCATTCAACATTTGATCGCAGGGGGGGGGAGGGGGGGAGAGCAGTACTTACCCCTTTTCTTTAACGGACTCCAGTACTCCCGCCGTTTCCAGTGTGGTTAACGTTGCGCGGAAATAGAACATAACGAACAATTTCACTTGAAGCCTCATACCTTTTTGGTGCAAAAGTCGAACATGTGTATAAGTTCATGCACCAGGATTCCCTGCACCACGCTTTCTTTCCGGGCAACGTTTTGACAGACGACAATCTGTAAAAAAAACAACACAAAACAGCATTAGATGCCGCAAACAGCCCGTTCATAAGCTTCATACTATCTATGAAGCTATATATATATATATATATATATATATATATATATATATATATATATATTCATAATATATACATATATTCACAATACATATTCATTACATATGCACATATGTATATATATATATATATATATATATATATATATATATATATATATATATATATACATGCATAAGCTCCGTTTATTGCGACCATCGAGTGGAAGGCATTAACCTGAAGACAAAGCCGAGTCAAAACCAACATGTCGTTATCCGTTCCAAAACCCCACATATCGCACAAGCCCAACCACACAGTCTGATACTCAACGAGATCGCACGCCCTATAAACTATGCACCACGTGACGGACCAGCTGGGCTCGGGGACGTAAGGAGCTCTGGTGGCATAAGGATGCCCGCCATATCACCTTAGCCACAGTGGGGGGACGAAAAATGGAGGCAACGCTGATAAGCGAGGATACTAGCATTTAACTATTTGTATATTGTAATATATCAACAACCTTTGCAAGTGCGGTTGAATGAATATGTGCGCAAAATCCGTTAGGCAAGGTTTGCCGCACGTACCTGATTTGTGGAAGGGTCATAGCCACCAGTGACGATGTGTTCACATGTCTCACAGGACACATTCCTGCTCATATCCACTGGACTGTGAAGAAAAAGTCACCGGTACCATGTACTGAATGTTGGAGGTCATGGGATCCAAAGCATGACAGGCCACGGGCCCTCAGACATGTGTCTGAAATCATGGTAGGAGATCACATGTACGTGGAGAACTATGTCGATCCTTTCGGCCCGAAGGGAAATAAACAGCATTCCTGTGCCTTATGACTACTGGTCGCTTACTGGTTGTTGTGTTTGTGTTGTCATTGCCAAACAGACTCCCAGAGTCAGATACCAAACAAAGTAGAATTAATCTGCCCTGAAACATGGCTAGTTAGCATTGCAGATAGTGCTGTGAGGCAAAACAAATAGCATTTTGACTTGGGCAACCTCTCATGCATCATGTCAAATCATGTTGTCCCTGAACACCAAATACAACATTATCAAGATGTACATGAGGAAATAAAATTTAAAGTTAGAATTGTAAAAAGTGAAAACACTTACCACCCTGCCGATTTCAAGGCATCTAGCATTAGTCTTACTCCATAACCTGAAACACAGCAATCAATAAACAATCACACAAATATCACAATCATGTCTACCCACACGCCAGTATGGCCGTGCTAAAAACACCAGTGCATCATTTTTTCCTCATAAATCATGTTGTATACACTCAACCTGAAACACAGGCAACCCTAAAAGTAGCAGGGTGGTGTGACTGTTTCAACTTATGAATCCCAGCAAACGACATGTCAATAGCAACGGAAGCCCCACGCAAACCGTCCAACTGGCCTCGCAATGATTGGCTTCACCCGGCCAGTGATTTTTGCTGACCAGCATCATTAAATACTCCATGATTGAAAGCATGGGGTCCAAAGCATGGCACATCACATGTCCTCAGACATGCGTCTAGAATAATGGCTAGAGATCACATCTACGATGGAGACCCAGGTCGATCTTTCCGGCCAGCTGGGAAGCAAACAGTACTCCTGTGCCTTATGATTACTATGACTTATCCATGCCATTCCTCTTTGCCTCAGCTGTCATCTTGAATGAAATCACCACTCATTATCCTGAATGCCCGTAAAGTCCCAGCCTCACTCATAGTGTGTCCACTGTCACTCGCGCTTGCCAAACATCCCATGCAGCAGGCACGATGCTTATCCTCATGGCACCAATGATGATCACTGATCAGTGATGGCCAATGATGGTCATTGATCATTATCCCAAATACCTGCCAAATCCCAACCTAGTCCAGTGTGTCAACAGCCATCCGCAATTACCAATCGTTCCTTGCAGCAGCCAGAAGCTTGTCCTCACTGAACCAATGCCTGAGCTGTCCACACAGAAAAACAATCCCAGCGAGCAAAATATCCCAGTTGTTGCATGCCATTTTCAGAAACGTTACACAGCAGATCACTGGTTGATTCCCCACAAATGATGCAGAGACTTACTTTTCTTGAAGCAGTTGAAGACATTTTTCTCACAAGTAATCTGATCACTTAGGTTTTCACCCTCATGAAGCAACATATGCTCCCAAAAACCTGGCTTATACTTTCCACCATGTCTTTCAGGATACAAATCATAACCAAAATCTTCTTTGTCTGTGCCTACTGAACTCTGCTTGTCACCATCTATGCCGTCACCATGCGACGCACTGTCCTGGCAAGGTTGGTCAGCATTTTTATTCCCAGTTTCTTTTACAGCTTCAGAGGACATGACTTGCAAATATCAATGCTGAAACAAAAAGACTGCTATTAATGTCACGCACAGAAATGCTAACTGCAAGCCATTACCAGCTACATCTAGTGACAAATGAATGAGTATTATCATCAGTTGCTACTTTGATGAATCTTGCACATAACAGCTCAAGCAAGGCTGTCAATGTGAAGCTAGTATATTAGCTGAGTATTATAATCACAACATTTGTAACATATTTGGGATATAATGGACACAACACACAATTTAGAACACACTAATGTGTTCCATAAAACAAGTTAGTCTGCAGTTTTTGATATGGTTACCACTTATTTCAAGATTCTTAGCAAATAAAATGCCAGCAATGACCCATGCTCATCTGTAATTTGACCCTGGCTAGAGGGACTTCTGTACAGGCAGGCAACCAGCTAGCAGTCACATCCTGCAAGTCGTCACAATCCAGTTTCTCCACAAATGAGGAGCCTTGGAAGGTGATGACCACAAATACCGCATAGACTTCTGCAGCATCTGGGATAGGGGGGTAGGGTGTATGTCTCTGAGCAGTGGACTCTGTCAAATGCTCCTTCAACCACGCTTCATGCAAATGACACTTATTTTATTATTACAGAAAGAAGACGTTCACTGTCCGTTATCCTGCCTGCTATCACAACTTGTTGGGCATGACATGCTACTGCATGCTACATACTACTCAAAACATGCACTTACGTTCACTAATGCTATAAAAAATTGTACCACAACCCTGCACTGTAACTCGCTCCTAACACGCCTGCCCCAAGGCGCCTGCCCGGCGCACCGAGGCCGGCAGACAGTGGTGAATCTGAATGAAGGTTCACCGTTTACCATAACTCCCGTGAATCTCTCATCAAGAGCTCATGAAATAAAATTCAGTCTATTTTAAAACAAATGTTTTTCAGCACTTTTTAAGCAGCATAAAATCACATAATTCAATTTAATGTTAATGTAAAACTAAATTGTTTACCAATATGTCATATTGACCCAAAATAGCGAAATACAAGATAAATAACTACATTGTATTTGTAGGGTCGCTACATATTTGTTTGGTATTTACCGATAACTAAGCAGTCGGCAGCTATGCTGCAGAAGAGGCGATTGCTGCTTTATCGCAAAAAAGTGTGGTGACGCTCGTGGTGAGTGCAGCGAGGCTCTATGCGGTGCATGTGGGGTTGGATGGAAGGGTCAGTGCTTATAATCCATACAAGGGATTTGTGAATTGCGCAGTTTTTTTCAAAAGAGCGAGCCCGGGTTTAGCAGGTGGGTCGCTGCGAACTCGTAATCGGTTGCGCTTTGAAGCTTGTTCGCCAGGTGGACAAATATTGTTGGAAAGGTGCCGTGTAACTGTCTTTGCAACTTTTGCCCCATCCAACAGGGTCTGCATGTGCTTGGTGCACTGGTATATTTCTCAATGAAATATGTTGATTTCTGTTTGTGAAATTCTGCATATGCACAGCAACAGGCATACACTTAAAGAACATCCTCCCTTTCATTCCTACCACTTGTTTTAAAGTGCTCTAGCCTGTATAGCTACCTTTCTCTGACTGTGAATAGAATAGCTTCCTAACTGTGAATAGAGGAATGATTTTCCCTTATCAGGCCCCTGATTACACATGACATATTAAAAAGCTCCCCCATAGACCGTCCAATGAAGAATGTCAAGTTCTTAAAGACATATGCACATGCAATGCCAGACAGATTACATACTATGATGTTAAGCTTTGCAACTAATTCCCCTGTAATTTTGCATTGAAATGTGTGTGAATTTGATCAAATTGAAATGAAGACATTGTTGTGAGCAAGAACACCATTCTGACCAACCCAGTGTACATGCAAGCTGTGAATTAAGGAAGTCATTTTTGTTCATGGATTTAACTTTCAACTTTCCCTGAATACTGTCATGTTACACTGCAAGGTAAAATGTTGTTATGTGCTTCCAGGTGTTTCTGGAACCCACCAGTAAGGATGCATCATCATCATCATCAAGTCAATCATACCACAAAAGTAATTTTGTCATAGCTGCATTTCATTTGCATGCTGTGCTATTCATTTATCCTGGTACATTTGCTAAGTAACCCTCCAAAGAATAGAATGGCATTGCCATTGAGATGCTTAGTGAGAAAAAATTGGTTGTTCTCAACAAGGGTCCCCACAATTTGTACTCAATCCATACCTATTGTGTCTCCAGGCCAAATCAGCCTCTCAGATAAGAAATATTTCACCAGACATGGTCCACCCTGTAATACATCTACATCACCATCACCACTCACTCCAAAAAGCAGTGCACCATCCCCTGTCGCGTCTCCCTCGGACAGCTCCGGCGATTCCGACGTTGCCACCTCCTCTGACGGCGAGTCGTCCTCTGGCGAGAGTGTGAAGCTGCTGGAGAACCTGTCGGCGCTGGCGGAGGCGGTGGACGCGCCGCCGCCAGAGCAACCCACCATCTGCTGCATGTCCGGCTGTGCCAACTGCGTCTGGATCGAGTACGCCGAGCGACTGGCGGCGCACTACCGCGACGGCGGCGAGGCCGGCCGGCGCGCCATCGAGGCTAATGTGACCGACCCCAGTCTTAAGGCCTTCCTGCTGCTGGAGCTCCGCACCCGGTGACGACCGTTCCGAGCGGGGCGCGCACTGGGCGGCGCAAAAGGCCCCCGCGGGGAGAAGGCGCCACTGAAGACGATGGAGGCGCCATCTCGCCTACTGCGACGTCGTGGCGTTTCGGTGAGGCGCCTTAGCGTGCAATGAGATGGATCGGCAGAGGGAATTTTAATGGGTTGGTGTTGTGACGCATTCTAGTCTTTCATGCTTCAAGGCTATGGTTATATGGTGGATTGTTGGCTTGCGTCGTTAGTATTAGATGCTGGCAGGTAGTCCTCAGTGGCCGTTCCATTATCTCATACACGACGGTGAACGTGCGCGGTTGCGCATGAGACACCGCAGTCCAGAGTGGAGTGAGTGTATTTAAAATAATACTATCTGTACCTGTGACATACCGGTGAGACATTATTTAATATATTTAACAGAGTAATCATCCGCTTTCCTTCTCGGAAGACTGCCGTATCCAACCACATCCAGCCGACAGGCGACAAGCAGCCAAGGGTCGAGTCCTTAGACATGTGTCTGCTTATGGCACGCACGATACAGGGCTCTGGTGGGCTAGTCTACCACGACCTGAACAGTACTACGGAGGAGCTGTCGCCGTTCCGACTTCTCTTGAACTCCCACACAAACCATTCGGAGGATAGTTCGACCCATCTGGTCTCAACCCAAGGAGTGTCACGATGGTCACTAGACGCTACATGAGTGCCATAATAGCCTCGTTCATCCTGGGTATAATGTAACCGATCCATTTGGAATACAATGAAACAACACCGCTGGCAAACGCGACTACGCCGTCTCCATGTCGCTCCGCTCCTTAACCATTCCCTCGCAGGCATCCAGGATTCCTGCAAATGGAAGGACGGTGCCGTCAGGTCGCCAGATCCACGCAGTGCTTATCTCTACTGACTTGACTGACTATACTTTGCTTCTTTAGGACGTACTGCGGCGTTGGTCCTGGCAATGATGATAATTTTAAACTACTTCACCATGCAACAATCAGCCCAACACACTCACAGACGGGTACTCGAGCAGGACAGCAACAGGAGGGGACAGGAACATGCCACACCACGCCCCTCGTTATTGCCCCCTTCCTTGAGACGTGAAAGATCGCATGTCCGTCCGTGGCGTCTCCGCCCATAAATTAATGTTGCACACTTCCCCCCCCCCCCCCCGACCCAGTTACGAACTGGCTGCGTTGAACGAAAAGCCCTCCTTGGTTAGGCTATGGCAAAGCGTAACGATCCCAAAAAGGTACTGTCGGTTAGCCCGTAGTTGAGCTGGAGTTGCAACATAAAGGCAGACGTATTCGTTGTCACGAGAGGAGGCCAACGGTATCCAAGTGTTGAAACGCCACAAAAATACTTGAGCATTGTTTACCACCATACATGAGGCGCAACGCTACGCTGTCCAAATCCCCTACCCCTTGTTACGCTTCGATTACGCTCCATTATTACCCCCTCTCCCATGCGTAGCGTAACACATGACTGCCCCGTTGCCCATTGGGCTCTGGCACTCACTGGACGCGATGTCGACGTTCGCCGTGTGGTGCTGGTCGGCTCCTCGGCCAGGTCGAGGCCCTCGTCGCAGCTGCGCGCCACCCTGCCCGGCAAGACGTATCTACAGCGCTGCGCCCCACCGAGACACCCTCAGCGCTGCGCCCTACTGGGGATACACCTCAGCGCTGCGCCCTACTGGGACACCACCTCAGCGCTACGCCCTACTGAGACACACCTCAGCGCTGCGCCCTACCGGGGACACACCTCAGTGCTGCGCCCTACCGAGACACACCTCAGCGCTGCGCCCTACTGGGACACACCTCAGCGCTGCGCCCTACCCGAGACACACCTCAGCGCTGCGCCCCACTGGGACACACCTCAGCGCTGTGCCCTACTGAGACGCACGCCCCACCGAAACACGTCTCAGCGCTGCGCCCCACTGGACCACACCTCAGCGCTGTGCCTACTGAGACGCACGCCCCACTGAAACGTCTCAGCGCTGCCGCCCCACCGAGACACACCTCAGCGCTGCGCCCTACTGAGACGCACGCCCCCACTGAAACACGTCTCAGCGCTGCGCCCCACCGAGACACACCTCAGCGCTGCGCCCTACTGAGACACACGCCCCACCGAGACACCTCAGTACTGCGCCCCACCGAGACACCTCAGTGCTGCGCCCCACTGGGACACACCTCAGCGCTGTGCCCTACTGAGACACCTCAGTGCTGCGTCCCACCGGGACGAGCCTTAGCACTGCGCCCTACTGAGACACACGTCCCACCGGGACACCTCAGTGCTGCACCCCACCGAAACGCACGACACACCAGCCGCGCGCCGCCCAGCGCATGCTCAAGTGCCGCTCAAATCGCCTACAAGTGCTTCGGGGTTGGGTGGGAACCACTGGTGGAGGCGGGCCACGCGAGTCCGCGCCAACCCATGGCTCCGCCCATACGTGTCCCGCATGATGGTGCCGGTGTGACATCTCTGCACGTCCTGTTCCATCTGCTCACCTGGGCCGCGGGTGAACCGGAGCCGAAACAAAGCAGTGACATGCTCTCTGCTTATCTCCTAGTGCCTCACCTCGGCTCCAGTGGCATGGAGCTGAGGCAGGTACCTGCACAGAACGCCTCGTCTGCTAACCTACAATCTAATGCGGTGTAATGCCCACCTACGGTCTAATGCGACTGACGGGGAGGTGCGGCACTCGCAAGTCGCGAGCTATCTGCTAACCTGGGGTCCAGTGGGAATGGAGCCGAGGTACGGCACCTCCATGTCACGTGCCATCTTCTCGGCGCCTCCCGTGCTCGGTGGGAAGATTCTGGTGGTCGTCTGAAAGCCAGCGAGCTCATCATGACGCACAGCTCATGCGTGTCAGGACGGTCTGGCGGTTAGCAGCTCACCGTGGCCAGCCATGTCCGAAGTCAAGCATCTACTGCAGTGTTCACTCACACACCTCAAATGCCGTTCCACACAAATCCAGCTGCGAAAGTCCCAGTCGAGTAAACAGAGAAATACCTCTGTTTTTACGTCTCAGGAAAAAGCGGCGGCTGTCAACAAGGCGTAAATATATTGGTGACCGGTGCAAGTATTGATCATGAACACCGAGGAGACCCACTTGTGATCATGAGTACAACCTGAAACGTCATAACGCAGCCTAATCCGTATCTCCTGCTACATAAAGGTTTAATAACTGTCAACATAAGAACGCTGAATTCATCATGTTATTTCGGCCTGCTTTCGGAAACGGCAATACTTCAGCACACACAGTATAATGCATGCTGCAGTCCCGTGCCGAGGAGTCTGCGTGCAAAACACGCACACACCGACACCACGAATACCCGGAGGGCGTCGGCGGCGTTCACCAACCTCGCACTTGGGGCAGACGAAGGCGGCCATGTTCTCGACCACGCCGAGGACAGGCACGCCGACCTTCCTGCAGAAGGTGATCTCCTTCCTGACGTCGAGCAGCGCCACCTCCTGCGGTGTCGTCACGATAATGGCGCCGTCTATGCCACTGTGTCAGTCGTAACGTAGGTTAGTGCAGCGCCGCGAGCACGCGGTTGTAACAGCATTACGGAGCAGGTAGAATGTCACCAAAATTACGGGAAATTCCAGATCAAGGCCGTGCATCCATAAAACACTGATAAGCGCGACCATGTGAAGATTTCATTTAATAACTAAAGTAATTCAAGCAACATCTAAGCACTTCCTGAGAACACACCTGACGACTCATTTCGATGACATTCGCATGATTGGCCTTTCAACGCGCATTGATCAGCCGATCCCAACAGGCAGGCAGAACTTTGACATGAAGTATATCCGCACAAAATGTGCACCTTTGCGATCGGTTCCACGACCCGCGTTGGCTACGAGCCTCGCCTGACCTGGGATAGCCTGCCAGCAGGTGTTCGTCTGAGGTGCTCGGCGGTACAGACCCTGTCCTGGGGGAGCCTGGAACCCAGGACTGCTCACCTAGACTGAAGGTACTGCACCACCGACAGGTGCTCGTCCGAGGTGCCCGGCGGCGTTGTCACACGATCAGGTAATCGGTGTCGCCCCAATCGACGTCCCGCTAAGAACTGCTTGATGAGGCCGTTCTTCTTGGGGCCGCGCCAGATGGACGCGTCGTCCGGCTGAGGCCAGCAGGAAGCCCACCGACATGACGGCCAGGTTATCCTGCCGGCGACACGCGTCACGTGGAGCAGGCCGACACCGCGGCGGCGTAATCGTACCGGGGATCGCGATATCATGGACGGAGACCTCCTGCTGGCAGGCGGCCATGGCAAGGCTCCCACTCCAGGCCAGTTAACGATGACCACATTATCGGGACTGTAAACGTCACGACGATGACTTGGGTCCGTCTCCGTCGTCCTCATGTAGAGCAAATCGTAACTCTTCCTGCATCACGCCAGAATCAGAACGTACACAACTTACGGCCTTGCCGTCAACGCCACTCTGGGACCTTCATTGCGCTATCGAACGACGTCAACAGCAAGAAGGACAACACCATTCTTGCCAAAACAAAGTGCTCCACACACTAATTCATGTGCGGGTCCACTCATCGCCCAGCCGGCCACGCCGATCTGACCTTTACGAAGACAGGCGACCATCCGGAGCCCGAGTGGTGCACGTTCTCGCCCTCCCAGGCCCATGATGCGGGGCACCGACGGGCCGCAGATGTCGATGTCCCAGCGCCACCTATCGCGGAGGACCCAGCTCAGAGGCAGCGGCCGCGCGCCGCTCGGCACCGCGCGCTCGGGGGCGCACTCGAGAACCGACGGCACGCGGGGCTACGCACAGCCAGGGTAGTTGAGTTCAAAGAGGAATTAAGGAGATACGGGAATTTGGACACAGTAATTTTCAGGGACAACTGAGTCAGTATGAAATCGCCAGGTGAAAATCTCGCGGCTAGGAAATGAGCAAGGCCGGTGGCCAGAAATGAGCAAACATCGCGGCAAGAAATGACCAAAGCGTTAATAGACGAGAATATCGAAATGGAGAACAAATGGA